GGGGTTTCACCGTGTTAGCCAGTATGGTCTCGATCTCCTGACCTCGTGATCCGCCCACCTCCACCTCCCAAAGTGCTGGGATTACAGGCCTGAGCCACCGCGCCCGGCCTGCATCTTAAACTTAGCACATCTCAGACTGAACTGATCATCTTGCTCCCCTGCCATACTGGCAGATCTTTCTAGTCCCCAAGCAAAAACTTTAACCCTCTTTTTGCCAGCCTGTACGTTATTCCCACAGTCAGTCGGTTCCCTTTTACTTCCTGAAGATGGAACTTCTTACTTCTCTTAGACCCACTGTGACCTCCTTGTTTCAGGCCAGGCTTCTGATTTCTCTTTCACTGAAGTGGTCTCTGATATGGTTTGGCTGTTTGTCCCCGCCGAACCTTATGTTGAAATGTCATCCCCAGTGTTGGAGGTGGGGCCTGTGGGAGGTGATTGGATCATGGGGGTGGATCCCTCATGAATGGTTTAGCGTCATCCCCTTGGTGATGAGTGAGTTCTTGCACAGTTAATTCACACACATGAGATCGGGCTGTTTAAGAGCCTGGGACTGCCCTCTTCTCTCTGTCTTGCTCCTGCCCTTGCCGTGTGACACACTGGCTTACCTTAACCTTGCACCATGATCGTAAGCTTCCTGAGGCCTCACTACAAGCAAATGCCAGCAGCATGCTTCCTGTACAGCTTGCAGGCTCATGCGCCAAAATAAGTCTCTTTTCTTTATAAATTGCCCAATTTGGCCAGGTGCAGCGGCTCACGCCTGCAATCCCAGCACTTTGGGAGGCTTGAGACAGGAGGATCACTTGAGCCCGGAGGATCGCTTGAGCCCAGGAGTTTGAGACCAGCCTGGGTAACATAGCGAGACCCCGTTTCTATAAAAAAAAAAATAGCCGTGTTTGCTACTGCACACCTGTAGTCCCAGCTACTTAGGAGGCTGAGGCCTGTCTCTTATACACATCTAGATGTGTATGAGACCAGCCTGGGTAACATAGCGAGACCCCGTTTCTATAAAAAAAAAAATAATAATAAGGCCAGGAGTGGTGGCTCACGCCTATAATCCCAGCACTTTGGGAGGTCAAGGCGGGTGGATCACTAGGTCAAGGGATGGAGACCATTTTGGCCAACATGGCAAAACCCCATATCTACTAAAAATACAAAAATTAGCTGGACGTGGTGGCGCAGCCTGTAGTCCCAGCTACTTGGGAGACTGAGGCAGGAGAATTGCTTGAACCCGGGAGACAAAGGTTGCAGTGAGCTGAGATCATGCCACCCACTGCACTCCAGCCTGG